GATTTCAGTCCTACATTAAGGCACATGACAAATTTTCAGCTGTTTTAAAAATGAAAGAGAGAGAGAGAGTGAATAAAATTTTATCAGAAGAAAATGTGGGGCACAATTTACATTACAAAACTCCCCTTATATAGTTACTTATAGGTAATATAGTCCTTTGCCCAGTACTCTATGTAGGTGGCAGGAGCCTATCTGAAAGAGTTGCATCAGGATGTAATTTTCTTCCCCTGAAATAGATATTAAAACCTGCCTAGTAAAAGATCACCAGAAATCCAGGACATGTTGCACCTCCAAGACAGAATGTTTTACTGATGGTTATTTCAATTTTTTATGAGACAATAGTTTCCAGTGCAGTTTAAATTTAAACAGAAGCAGGGAGATGTTTCCTTTTACAGATCACTCTTCTGTGATGTTGCTCCTATCTCTAGACCACACAGCATGAAAGAATGCCTGTGTGCCATCTTTGGTTTTCCTACCTTCCTTGTTGATCTCTGCTGTAGACTATTGAAGCTCTTAGATCTATTCTTGGTAAATGCAATGACTCAGAATAATGTATATTTCCCATATGAATAACAAAAAGACAAACTCCTGTTACACTCCATATCCCTTATGGCTCTTGATGCTTGATTTGCTGAAGTTATAGGGACTAGTCAAATATTACCAATCTTTATAGCCTTTGCAAATGCCAAGGCTGTTTTGCCTAAGGTCAGAAATTATGGAAAAACATTTTATTAATGAAAAAAATACTTAAAAATCCCAATTGAGTACCACACACACACACACACACACACACACATACATATATATATGGATGTCAGGTTATTCTCCAGTGAACTGCACTGAAAATCTCAAAGCCTCATTTAGCAATGCCCTGCCTGCCCTTCTTAGCTGGGTCAGTTGCCATGGTGTCTGCACAACTCTTTAGAAAGACCCCAAAGCCAGTGTAAGCTACATCTGAGTCAGCTCAGTGCCTGACCTAACAAAAATACTGTTGCCTAAAACTGGGCACTTCGAGTAGATTTTACCTGAAGCAGATTTGTTTATTCCAGACAGTAGCACTACTAAGGCAAGACACTGCTTGCAACAGTTATGAGCAATAAAATAATTCATTTTACCTCTGCACTTGTCAAAGAATTAGAAGGTGTCATAACACCAAGTGCCAGAGAAGCTGGTAACTAAGGACAAAATAATACACCAAAGCACAAACAAACACCTAGTACCCAGGGTAAAGGACTCGACAGCTTTTTTAAATTATTATTTGGCATGGGTTAAAACTTCAGTTTTGACTTCACTCAGATGTTTCCAAAAATACATGGATAAGAAACACAGGTTTGCTAGGAAGGAAAGGGGTGACAGAGACTGTGCTCACACAAGTAGTGCTGATATGGCACATTTACTTCCAGGGAAGTAATAGAGGGATGCCTGTTCAGGAGAGGACCATGCTCATCTCCACAGGGATATCTGGGCACATTTTTCAGCATGTGTGGACTTTCATTCAATGTCTAGGCTCATTATAGATTTTGTGATGGAAGGAAAAACAGCATGAGAAACAGGCCAACAACTTTGTTTCTCAACTCTCTGATCAGCCCCTGTCAAACTCCTTTTCCTGCCAATAAAAGCAAAAGAGTGTAGTGTTTGAGTGTTTAATAGTGGGAGTTAGAATTCATATGCACTTAGAGAAATCTCTCGTAAAATTTTAGTAAATACTAACAATTTTGAAACCAAATTTCATGCAAAATACTGGACATCTTCTACTTTTTGCACAACAAACTATCTCTTCCTAAAGCAGTCACTATTAAACCCTTTTTCAGTATGTGATAGAGAAGGGAAATTTTGCCTGGTAAATTTTAATTTTTTTATAGTAATATGAAGGGAGGGCTTTTGTTCGTTCTGTGTGAACAAATGCCTATTTCTTCAGTCATCCACAACTTACAAAATAATTAAAAGTGTACATGTTACGTGTTTAAATGAGAGTAGTAGGGAGTGTCTTGGGTCATTTGCCCATGCTCCAGACTCCAGTTTTAAAAAGCAGGGACAGGGCATGTCCTGCTTCTAATTCTGCTTTTCTAACCATTTGAGTCTGGAGAGGTGAATGATTGCATCTGGTATGGAACTTTCTTTTGCACCTCAAGCTGTTGAAACCTCAGAAAATACTCCTAGCCTTACAAGCAGGGCTGAAGCAGGAAAAGTCTCAGATACAATCTAGCAGCACCCTAATCTAGGACTAAGAGGCACACACCGTGTGAACCAAACTGTGTCCATTTGACTCTGCAATACCCAAGCCTCCTGCACGCCTGCTAATGGAAAAAGCACACATGCAGACGCATGCAGGTTCCTTTGGAACATTCTGCCCACTGGAGGAGAAGAGATCTGCCTTTCACATGAAGTCATTTTGCCAGTGTTTTGAATAGTATTTTCCGCATGTTTTTTCTATGAGATCAGCAGTCATGCCCTACTGTTCCACATTATCAGCCTTTTTTTTTTTCCACCCTGTGTTTTACATTAGCAAATCAGCCAGCTCTGAGACCATATTACGTAAGTTTCTTGGTTTTTTTTTTTTTTTTCCAATTTCTATGTTTCTCTAATTAATAGGAAGTGGCTCTCCATTAAGGCCTAGAGATGACAAATGGCTTCCTTTCCTCATTTGTGCACAGCTCAGCTGCGAGCCCATTGTTCCTTGAGCTGCTCTTTTCCCAGTGCTGCCAGCCCCAGGGCTGTTGCGTTTTGCAGAGCAAGAACCACTCCAGGAGCAGGACAGCCACGTCATGGATACACTTGTCTCTCACCAGCCAGAGGCCCTTGTGACAAAATACAAACGTGCACACAATAAACTTTGACCTGTAATTTCAGCCTTTCCCTAAGGAGGATTCACCTCACTTGATATTAACCTACTGAAAGGCAGCTGTCTGAGCTATCGGGCCAGTTACTGATGCTTCCTCTGTTACCAGTGGGGAGGAGAATTCAGCCCATCTGAGGTGGATGAGGAATTTCAGGAGGTGCTTACTTGCTGCTGGCTACAGAGCATACCGAGGCAGCTACTAAAACATCTATTTTCCAGATGAATGAAGTGTTATGACATGAATACCACTGTACATGGTATCCTGCACTAGTTGAAGCCTGCTCTGAAGGAGAAATGTCTTCTTTATCCCTCAGTCTAAGACAGTCAACACTACCTCCTTTTTCTATTTTGAAGCTGTTATATGACTTCCTTTTCTCTCTCTTTCTGTCATTAATGGAACTGGTAAATATTTTGCAACAAATCATGTACTTCAATGAAATGAAAATTTTGGAAATAAATAGTGAGCACCTCCCAATTTTCTTTCAATGCGTATGGTTTTCAAAGTTTGGTGACTTTATCTTTTATAGACATTTGGGTAAGAATATTCAATCATTAAAGTTCTAAGGCTGAGGGTTAGTCTGGTTCGGATTCATTCCCCACAGAGTATTTGTCCTGTTCTGTGGTAGAATAACAACTAGAGGCTATTTACAATAACTAATTTGATTCTGCTTGGTAGTGGTTTAAACGCATGGCAGTGGTCTGTTACAATGACTCAGTTGCATAGCATTAATTTTGAGCTGAGATAGAATTATTTAAGATGCTGAAATATGATGGAGATTATCATGTCTAAAAATTAAGTTTTATGAGTTGAAAATTTATTTTCTGCAGATGAACCCTAGTGCGCACTTAAAATTCATAGTTTCTAAGAATAGTATTAATGAATTTATTTGCTGCAATATTCCCGAAAAAAAATATGCAGAGCAGAATGATGGATTGGAAATACAGTCACTGCTTTTGTTCAGCAAGTTAGAAGCTGAGCATTAACACAGAACTAACAACAGGTTAAAAAAAATAAAAGGAAAGCTTGAATTGCTATTCCCATTATATTTCTTTAACAAAATGTTGAAAAGTATTTAGTTGTCTCTGCTATATAACTGTTATGAGGGCATGGTCATTTAAAATATAACCATTCCTACTTGTATATTGAAGTCTGAAGATAATCTCAGATTTTTAATTAGAAAACAAATCCTTAAGTTCTGCCAGTTATTTTTAAAACAGGCCTGGCATAGTTAGAACTGGGTGGTGTCACGGAACAGAACACATACAAAATAGCTGATAAAATGAGATGTCATATTGACAAAGCTCAGGAAACAAGAGCCTGTAAGAAAACAGCCTATGTTACATCCATGGTCTTCTCTGAATGCCTCCACTGAGATTCCTTCCTCAAGAGTCCTGGCAGCAGCACCCTTCCAAAGAATCTGGCATCTTCCTATCCTTGTCCTCATGTCTTGCTAGAAAGTTAGTTGCCTTCTGTGGTGGTTTTCCCTGGGGAGAAGAAACTCAGAGAGAAGTTCTCTCTATGAGAACTCCCTCTGGGAGTTTATGGGGCTAATTGGAGGCTGGTTTGGTTACTGACAGCCTGAACAACCAATTGGAGAAAGTTAGTTCTCTCTGTGAACACACATTTTGAAGGAGGTAATCTGGAAAAGAGCCCTCTTTTTTTTCTGGCAGCAGTGCAGGTAACAGGGCCCCGGCCTGGTCCCACTGCAGGGCTGCGAGCCTGGCAGGGGACAGGACTGGGCACCCAGTCTGGGGACTGGCATGGCCCGGCAGGGATGAGGGGTGGCCATGGACAGTGGCCAGCGAGACCCAGAGAGGCTGATTTAAGATCCCAGCCAATTCCTCCCCATCCTTCTCCTTTTCCAGCATGGCCGAGTTTTTGAGATCTTGCTACAGCTTCAGCATTGCAGCCTTGTTTTTTCCTGTGTGAAATTTTAACTTTTTCGATGCTCAGATAAGACTTGCAGGCTTTTCAATCCTCCCCGGAGTGAGAAGAGAAAAAGGAGATACTCTGAAGTCAGTGAAGCAAGAGCATTGTTTCTTTAAATGGAAGAAAAATGAGGAAATGTTGTGAAGATGGCTGAAAATCCTTTTGTACGTTGTAGGGATGAACTGATGTTACATTGAATATTCTCATAAACCATGGAGAAAAAAGACATAGGGGTTGGAGTGTTCCATTTGATAGATTATTTGACCAAAAAACACCTGTGTTAAAAATCTTTTGCCCCGAAAAAAGAAGGGGATCTTGGTTTTTTGAGGATGAAGCATGAACAAAGAGAAAAGAGATGAACAGAACTTTTGTTTTGGAACCGTACAGTCTTAAAAGTAATACCTTATGAGTTTGACATGGCCCACAAGCACAGCTCTGGGAAGGCTGTGAAGTTAAGAAGAGTGCCATGACTGCAGGTTCCCGGGCGGCTGCTACTCGTGAAAGTGAAATCAAAAGAAAACTGTTTCCTTCCCACTTTTGGAAAAGAGATCCCTATAGCCAAACAAGAAGAAGCTCCTCTCTCTGAAGTGAACAGAATAAAATTATTTTAGTGGAGAACTGACTGAAGTGTCTTTGTATGTTGTTGTTAAGAAAGAATAGGAAGGGGGAGGAGGAAGTAGTCTGAAGATCTTATTCTGAATTTGTTTTTTGTTTTTTTGTCCCTTCTTTGTGTAGTTAATAAATTTCTTTTTATATCCCTTTAAGTTTAAAGCCTCTCATACTTCTGCTCCTTGTTCTGTCTCACGACACCAAAATTAGTATATTTAAATTGGCAAATCAAAACTATGACACCTTCCAACAGGCAATCCTAATGTGCTACTTCTTTCTTGTTCTTCCTACATTTAAATTTTGTTATTCCATATTCCTCTCCTGCATGGGCTGGGATTTCCTAATCTGTCTTCTGTGCAATGGAACAAACTAATCAGCCAGCTAACATTCTCTATCCCCTCTATTAATTGGTCACAAGATTCAAAGGGTAGAGCATTGGGCATATTTCAATTATTGAGATGAGTAAAGGAAATGGGATGTCTCAGAACTGATGCTTTGGTCTCTGGCAGCTAAATGCTATAGCAGCACATGCTGCTGAGATGGAGGACCTGTTCCACAGAGGTGTGCTGGTAAGCTGATTTAGCAGCTGTGCCTAGAGACTGGTCCCAACAAACAAGGATCTGAAAGCTGGCTCCAAATCAACAGCCTGGTAACCATTCAGCTAGTCTTCAAAAACATTTTGTTCTAAGGCTTTAAGTGCTTTCTATTTTCTGCAGGAAAATCTCCACTGAATTACTGTTATGCACCTTTCACCCAATAGAGGAAAATATGTGATTTCTTTGCATTCTGAAAAGCTTATTTAATACTGTATCCTAGTTGGTAATTTGGCATTGGTACAGATAAAGTCCCACAAATTTCAGAAGTGACTGTTCAAAGAGGGTGACAGGCGTTGATATGTTCGCAAAAAAATCCCCACACTGATAACTTAGCACATTCTTCTGCATTTCCTTTGTCAGGTTCTCTAGAGAAAGCATTTTGCAACCACACGCACAGAAATTCCATTTTGGTTGTGAGAACTTTGCCCACACTAGACAAAGAAGCTATGCCAGCATTGGAGTAAAATTACATCCAGAACTGTAAGGGAATTAAAATATCCAGGAACATTCCTCTTTCAAAAGTTACCAGTGAGAATGACAGACTATGATCCCTGAGTTTTAGAAAAGCTCTGAAAACTTCTGTTTCTGTTTCTGAAGCTTCATTTCCAAGAGCTTGTTTGACTGATGCAGATCTCTGAGATCACAAAGGTTTAAACATTTTCCTTTAAAAAACGACAGCCATACTGTACCTTCCCCAACAGAAGCATTTCCTAGCTAAAAGTAATAATTATCAGCAAACCCCAGAAATTAAAGGCAAGCAGTTTGAAAATATATGCCCAGTCATAACTGTCAGGGAACTAAAATTTCATTATTCCCTTGAACAGGCATGTCTATCAGTCTGACAATCAATTAGATGCCACAGATCCAAGTTCTGGCTGAGGAATACAGAGATTTATAGGATTTATAAAGTAAATCTGAGGTTTTTAGGTAACCAGACTACATCTGGCCTACTTCTCATCACTACATCATCACTGCAAGTGGTTGTGTTCAAATTGATGTGGTTTATGCATAAATCTGTGGTGGTTTATGCAACTTGAATGGACCAAGGTTTGGGGGTTTTTTTGCTACAAAATGGTGATGGTCTCGCTTCATTATCTGGAGAAGGTAGACAGCTCCAACATAAGGGAATGAATGAAGTCAAAAAAGAAATATGATCATAGATCTAAAGGGAAAAGCCCAATCATCAGGAGCATACATAATCTCTATCAGGACAAATAAATATCCAGGCTTGTGAGTCTAGTATCCTTCACACATTAGAAAAAGTCAAAACAAAAAGGAAAAAGAGGCTGGGAACATTTCTATCCTTACTATTGTAAGCCATGCACAACACCTGGAAATGCTTAGGATTCCAATAACATCTCAGAATATACCTTTTTTTTTTTTTTTTTTTTTTTTTTTACAAACCATACTAGTATTATTCACTCTATTTTTTGAGCAACATACACTGGCAAGTACTATAAACATTTCTGGAAATAGTCACTCAAATTTTGCTTCACCCAGATTTAAAGCCTTGGTATTTATTTTCTTGGATTACTCTCTTCCCTGGGGACAGAGCCAACATCAGAAAAAATGTCACCATCTGAAAATATTAAATGATTGATAACTAGGTTATTCTAAAAAACAAGAGAAAAGGACACTTAGCTACTCTCCCTGTAATGCCTCAGTATTACTCTAGTATCAATCTGTACCACTGAGAAGTAGTTTTGTAAGTCAGACACCAAATCTAGGCATAGAATAACTGATTCCCCTGGATCCATTGCACATTTTCTTTGTTACATGTTTCTTTGTTTCATTAATTAAAACAGTTATTACACAAAGTAATGGAAAACTATTTATTAAATACTTATTAGAAAGAAGACACTGTAGACTCTCCCTACAATATATTTAACTATCTTGATGGGCTGGGCTTCCCTGTAGAGATCCTTTGTGCTTTGCTTTGGACAGTTTTTATCCTAAACTCTGCTGAAAACTTCCATTTGCTGCAATGCTCATAATGTCCCAGTGCAATAAGGGCAGGGCTGCTCAGATCTGCCATATGACCATGCAGTGTTTGTTTAGTTGTGTCCTCTGCTCTCCTGCTCATCCACCCTCTACACCTGCACAACGAGGTGTCTGATGCCAGGCTGCCTGTGCTTGTGTTGTGTTTGCACAGGGCCTGATCCCACAGAGTCCCTGTCTGTAAGCATACACCTAAGCCCTCTAACTGATATGAGGTACATTATAAAAAAAAAAGATCCCCTTTTACTTACACATAAAAGACAAAGAAAAGTAATGGGAATAGCCACATATAAAATATGAGTAAGAAGAGAGCTTTGAAGTTAATTTTGAAGATGGGAGGAGTCACAACTCCCTGGAGAAGCCAAGCCCCTGGAGAAGAGCCTGCCTCTAGATTAGGCCAAGGTGAATTTTGGGTGGGAAATAGGATGGGTTGAGTGAAACAGGAAGGCTGGCAGTTACAGAGGACAAAGGAAGGTCCTTGCCAGTCCACATATTTTGTAGCCGGGCCAGCTGGATTTGATGGCTCCAACAACCTGAAAATTCTGTGCTGGACAATTTCAATAGGGAAATGAAGACTTTTATCAAATGAAACAGAAAAAAAGCTACCGCCCACTCTGCTTGTCTTCCAGCAGAATTTACCTCACAGTATTGTCATTTGCAGCTTACAGAGTACCACCACGTCCCTGTGGCAGGTTGCAGAGTTAGGCATGAGGGAGGTGAAGGTGTTGTTAGCTCACTGTACAGCCAGTGGGGTGGGTGAGTATGGGGAACAGTAAGGGTGTGGGTACAGAGGCAGTGTGGAATGGTGTCACATGCCCAGCAGCAGCTCAAGTGTGGATGGCAGTATGGATGCTGACACAGTTGACTTAATGGTGAAAGGTTCTCAAGTGATTGGAATAGGTCACATCTGAAATTTTTCATAAGGCTGTCTACATATCCAGGAAAATACAAGTGCTTTGGTTTGACCCAGTTTTTTTTTTTTTTTTCTTTTCTTTACAATTAAGAACTAGAATTGGATTTTAGATTAAATCCCCTGCTTTGGAAAACAGTTTTGTGCTATAGAACACATTCCATAGCCTATGCCAAGGCTGCATGAGTGCAGGTCACCTGTAGCTGCAGCTTTCGTATTAGATTACTAAGAACTTGCTTAATAACCAAACATGCTGCGACCATGACTTTGAACAGGGCTTATTTCAGTATGGCATTAAAGGTTAAATTTCAAACCAGCATATCCCTCAGTTAATGTTTCCTTTAGCCTTTGATGTCTGTTTACTCTTCCACATACCTGTTTCTATTTTAGGTCAGAGGGTATTTGTATGTAGGTAAGAGTATACATATCTAAGAGACTATTTCTGCAGGGATATTATAGAGGGTAATTTTAGGTCCAGGATACATACTGAGATGTGGACAGGCTGCCAGAAGGATTATAAAACCAGTTGTGTGTTTTTCAAATCCAAAGGACAGGTTTCAATTAAGCAAAGCTAGGTTTGGCTATAACAGAAATCAGTGCCAGGTAGAAAAGGCTTCTCTAATCCCTCTCCTGCCCCATCCGCCCTTCCCATTTTGTACTTTTGGCCAGCTTTGAGGTGAACATTTGCTCTGAACTTGCACAAACCCTTGCAGCGTGACAGTCTATGGAAAGCAGCTCCAAGGTGAAAGGTTTCTGTATAGCTGACAGACTAGACTGGTGCAAGAGGCATGTCAGAGGCTGGCCCATTGCCAGGAAGATAACCTACCAGTCGGTATTCTGGAGCTCCCTTGCATTGAACAGGCAGGAAGATGCTGTGTATTTTGCCATTGTATATGTTCTGGCTCGGTGCCAAAATAAGCTCCCGAAATGGATGCACAGCGCAGCATCTAAAACACTGCACTGTCCCAACTGCGGTAAAAGGAAAACACTTCTTTCCCTGTTGCTATGTACTTTGGCAAATCTCCCATCCAAAGAATTGTGCTCAAAGTACTCTGGAAACACCTGCCAGGAGACTACTTGGGAATGTTGTTTAAACAAGCTTACCTGCCAACTTTCCAACACTGTTGACTTTGCAGTACCAAAAACGCGTCCTATTTTGAAACAGGCTTGATGGATAACAGGAACTGGGCCATAAGGATGAAGCACAGAACGTGCTTAAAATCTGCTTGCAGTTTCTGAAGCTGCTCAAAGTATGTAACTGTCTAACGTACAAACATTTCAATATGTAGCAGTATATATGGTTGGACTCCTGACAGGAACACCTACGTAATAATGGTATGTGTTGATGTTGTGTGAGGAGAGGAAGGATATGATTTTCCTCCCTTTTAGAGTAATTTACTCTAAAAGGGCTTCCATATAATTGTTTTCTGATAAGATGTCTTTTTAAATGTGTGTATAATATTTTTAGTGGAGCTATAAAAATTTTCAGGGCAAAGCTTTAAGGTACAGTGTTTGTTCTCAGGAGAGGTCGTGCAGAAGCAGAGTTAAAGACAGTAACCTCTTGCCAGATTTGTCCACTGAAGGGAAGTGAACATGCAGACAGTCAGAAAAAATGTCCTTTTTCACACACACACAGACTTAGCATGCACATATACACACTGGCATGGCCAGAGTTATCAGGTAGTGATGAAAATACAGTCTGCTTCATTAACACTGGCCAGTGCAAGACATATTGCTAGATCTTTTAATGGGGAAACTGAATTTCCTTCCATCCTCACTATGCACATACTTCTATTTCCCCATACCGTGTGTTTATTTTCAGATGTAGGTAGCTTAGTGTCTATTTAGTTAAATTCCCTCTCGTCTCTTTGAGGATTTCAGAGATTTGTTCACTGGTGTTCCTGGTCCACTCCTAACACATTTTTGTGCTGGAGAACTTTAATCCCATAGGAATTTTCTGTATATAAAGGTCTGTGAGGTTCTTCCACCCCCCCTTCTCTAGTTCTAGTAATAGCCTTAGTCCATAAATTTAATCTCTACTGGGAACTTCAGAAAACATGGAAAATGTCTCTCTAAAGGATCATCTTAGGCACAAGGAGGAGGCTCAGCCTCTCTGACTCAATCATTGACACCACACAAGTTCAGTCCTGCAATAACTCCAAGAAAGGTTGCATCAGAGTTTTTGCTGATCCATGGATGTGTCAAAATGCTTACATCTAAAGTTGCAATTAACCCCCCAGAATATGCAGCAAATCAATGAATATCCATCAAAGTGGCAAACAGCGAGCTCTTTCAAGCTCTCTCAAAACTTTCCCACTGTTGATCCACAGCAGTGAGGAATACATCTGCCACTTGTAATGCAGTATTTTGTGAAGTTTAAAACTGTTCTAACCAGCTAAAATCAAGACGCTGTCTGAAGTGCTCTTTATGTCCAGATAAAAAGAAACTGTCTGCTGTGCCAGCAGAAGTATATAACTCCATACTGAAATATTTACAGCCTTATTGGGCTGCATTTTTCTCTATCTGAAGCCAAAGTATTTCCCAAAGACTACTGACTTTGTAGGTCTGTTTATATCCAGCTTCTCTTGAATATCAATAGAACGATTCTTGTTGACTTCAGTAGGACCTGGATCAATGATCATATCACTGAAGTAATAATTCATTAGACAAAAGCACAAAATTTAGCTCTGGCTACTCTGTCAGTGGGTAAAACTTTTTGCTGACTTTTCCACTGCAAAGGCACCTGTGCCATTAGAACAGTCCCAGCTGTTATTCAACAGTTTAGAAAACATTCACAAATATTATTATCATCCAACTTTTCATAATGTGAAATGCTCTGGCTCTATCACTCAATCTTGACCTGTGGAAAAGGCAGATGCATCCCTAATGACTAGAGCAGGCTGAGTACTGCACAACCAGCTCCCCAGAAAACATTGAAATGCACAGCTCTAAGCTTGGCTTGAGGACACCTAGTATTTGTTTTTGCAAGCTTCCATCTCTCATCTGCAGTGCGCTGTCGAGGAGACAGTTTATATCCTCAAGCCAGTAGCAGACACATGAAAATGTAAAAATCTCCCATATCCTTAATCAACAACTGAAATCCATAGATGTGTGGCAGGGACAAGTAAAGACAACAGAATGCATGCACATGCTTTAGTTATCTTTTTAATTTCTGTAGTGAGATTATATGTAATATAATATGGCTTTATATGTAATTTCCATTTTCTAGTGTGGTGTCTGTGATTCCCTTCACTGCCATTACAATCTGATAGCTCAGTACATCTTTGCCTACAGTGGTTTTTGTTTGTTTGTTTACTTTTCTACAGGAATGTTACAGCATTTGCTTTGTTTTCTGGTTTCCACTACATCAGAATTTCTTCTCTTCTTTTCAGCAATATAGAAATAAAAAACAAAATTGTGTCTGTTAAAAATATTTTAGGAGGAATAGTGCTCTAAGGTATTTATTTTTAATAGATTTTATGGTATTTAAAAATATTTATTGCACAGAAAATATATGCAGCATTTGATATTCCTGCAAGGTTCAGATCTCCAACTTCATGGGAGGAAATTTTGTTTTAGTTATTATGATCCCTTTTATCCATTGTCTAATTCTTGTTTCCTGTATTTTAAGTACAGGAGACTAAAGAATTGAGCTGATTAAAATCAGAAAAAATGTTATTTTAAAGAGCTAAACATAATTTCTGAGCTGAACTGTCCTATACATATAATTCTTAAACATGAGAATGTTTCAGCACTCTGAAACTGAAATACTTTCTATTTAAGGTATTGTGCTTGCAGACTCTGAAAGATGCTTGAGATACTTGACTCGGGTTTATCTTCTATGTATAATGAAGTTTATAAAGCAACATGATAACAGATATTAAATTGCAGCAGCAAATATGAGCGAGAGGTGGAGGTTATACTCAGGGCTGTTTGTGATGTCACATTGTGTTTATCAAGAACACTGTTATTATATTTCCCATATTAAATTTTGCATTTAGAAATCTCTTTTCTATATCTGAACCTAGAGACTACCATGCATATGCAAGCCCTTTCCCTAAAACTGGGGGTCTTTTATTCCCTAGAGAAAAAATAAGTTGCAAGCAGTTGCTGAATGCAGCTGTAATCTTGATAATTTAGTCAGGAAAACTTTAATCCTTCACATAGCAGCACACTGAATTTTTTGAGTGGTCTTGAAAACACAAGAGTTTGGGAAATAAGGACTTCTAACCAAAAAGCCTATCTAATCTTACCACAGATTTGGGGAGATCAGCTTAAAAATCATGAAGAGTTCCTTCATTTTATTTTGGGGTTGACAATTTTGCTTCATCAGAAATGCTTTAATTTTCCTTCTGACTTCATTCTCTCTCTAATTTTAATACGTGGGATAGAGCTACAAAGGCCCACTCATTTCATTCAAGGAGCAACTAGTTGCTTTCAGAATTGACTGCATTTGACTTTAGCCACAAAACCTAGGCCTTAAATGCTGGCTGTGCTTGGCAACTTAAAAACCCTAATAATAGAAAAAAAGAAATTCAGCTAGGAATTACAGAGCAAGTTGCTGGAACTTCACCAAAAAATAGTGTCAGACGTGTCTGTGCTGGGAAACTCTTACTGCAAGAGACTGCATAGTTCTTTGTGGTAAATGGGTCAGAGAAGGGTTGCTAGTGAGAACTGATAACTTCATGACAACTTGCTCAGCATGGCAAAAAGCAAAGAGTATGGAGAGTAGGATGAAGTGTTGCTGATAAACAGGAATTTCTAATCCTAAAACGAAAATTTGTTGGACTTGCTCCAAGTTATACTATTGTTCAGTGCCTAATGTTGACCTTACAACATTTGATTTTGGAAGGATAGGAAAAATCTGCACTGGATTTCATGTTTCCATAGCAAAAATGTAAAGTGGTTGTAAGAACCATCTACCTTGGTCTTATGAAATCTGAGGACTTCTGAATATTAAATGCAATTTTGTCTGGACAGCTTGAGCCAATTCCAGCTCCCTCAGTAGTAAAAAAATAAAAAAGAGCAGCAGAAAAGAACCTGCTAGTGTATCCCCTAGAAATAACAATAATAAAAAAAGTGGTATGCAATGATGTGGTGGTATGCAAAAAGGAATGGTATGGCCATAGAAATACAGTGATAAACAGCAGGGAATGATATGCACCAGCAAAAGTCATTCTCTCCTACACTTTTACTGATCTCTTCTTTTTCTGTTGAGGCCAAGAAGCAAGGGCACAAAGCATAGGGCCAAATCAAAGAAGACATATAAGAATCCTTCTGGGACAAGAGCAATATTCCCAGTCAGCCAGACCAGGTGAGAAGTACACACATATGAAGGGACCAGCTCTCCCTGCCCCTCCATGTACTGTTCTTCTCCCCACCACCTGCCTGTGCCTCTGGTCGTGATCATGGCTGGGTGGCTGTGGCTTCACTAAACGTCAGGAGAAAAGAGAGGAGAGACAGGGAGAAGGGTAAGCATGCACCAGTACCAGCAGCAGGGGCTCTGTGGGTCCAGGACTCCCCTGGAAGCATCCAGATGGGGCAGCCCCATCTCTCTGACTGTGGCATGTAGCCCAGGTGACATTTTGGTGACTCTTTATTTCTGGATAGTGTTAAAGCCTTTTACTGGTGTCACAACACCTTGTTCTATTGAAAAGTGCTAATCAGGTTCTTTCCCAGCACCTAAACCCCACAGCATTGACAGTCACATTTTAATTTATGGCTACAACACTGCTTTCTTAAAGGACATTTTATTTATTAACCTACTGATTTGTGGTGGTATCTGTTCCATTTTGAGACAGGTGCAGATGCAAAATGTAACATTTTTTATTAATTCACAGATTTTATGCCACTAACAGTTTTGCTATTTGGTACACTGACAGGCAATGTTATCACAGTTTACTGGGCCCAACATACCAGTCTTGAAACAATTCTGCCCTTTTTTTTTGTTTTTTTAAAATGAAGATACTAATGAATGTGGAAAATGTCTCAAGTTAATTGGTTCCTCTCAGAGGGACTGGAATGGGAAAAGGAAATGACAAGGGAAATAGGTATAAAAATAAACCATTCTTGTGCTCTAAATTTCCTGAACCCCTGGAGTTTTTCATAAGCTGAAGTAAAGGAAAAACCTCACAGCTGGTGCATTTTCGCATTTTAGATGCATATGAATAGGAATATTTATGCTTTAAAATACCAACATAATTTTAAACCACCATTTTCTAATTGCAGCTGATATATGCTTCATGTGTTTCTTGGCAGCTTCATCTGGAAAAGACACAGGGACCTCAAAAAGTGTAGGATTTCATTAGGAAAAAAAAAGGCAACACAGGCTGCTGTATATATTGAGGAGCTTGCCAAGCCTATGGGAAATCAGAGGAGCAGATAGGCCAGCCTCCTTCCT